GTGAGTTAATTTTTTTTTCTCTTTCTCTCTCTTTCGTATAACATTCTTAATATAACATTGAAGTTCTAAATGCTTCGGTGTTCATCAAATTACATCTAGTGTGTGTGTGTGTGTGTGTGTGTGTGTGTGTGTGTGTGTGTGTGTGTGTGTGTGTGCCAACTTTAAAAAAAAAGCGTAGGCAGGAAACTCCCTCCAATACTAGAAAGAGCGATAACAGTTATTAGACTTGAAAAACCTGTTTTCCTACTAAAATTAATTTAATAGAAATATTTTTTTTTTTATACTTCAACCGAAAATTACACTAACTGTTAAGTCAATGAATGGCGAATGTTTCCTTACAGTTAATCTCATTATTACCATTGGTTGGTATTCCAGTTCTGTTAAAAGCGAAGATTTTAAAGCAGATTTTCAAGACAGTCATTTCTCGCGAAAAAAAAAATGACTCAACCAAGATCTGAGATAAAATTAAGCTTATTTACGTTGTAAATTGCCTGTTCGTTTATCGGCGATAGTTGTTGTGTGTGTGTTCCCAATGCTGCCATTAGTCGATGTCCAAACACAGACAAACGCCAAGATATCAAATGTTGACCTTTTTCAATGCAGACAGGCTATACTGACCTGAGAGATTTATGCAGCACAACTTTTCTCTTTCATTTCAGCCATATATCGTTTGGGTGTATATCTATAAAGATCGCTGCAGGCGCGTCCTCACTTCTCAAAGGCGAAACGTTTATTTTTATTGCCTATTATGCTTATTACTAGCGACTTCAGAATATTATAAGTTTATTTATTTGAAGGAAATAAATTTATTTTTGTTTGTTTCTTTTTGGACACAGATCTTTTGCACGATGATAAACATTAAATATGACTCCTCAATGAAGTGCCTGTTTCATCCTGGGTATAGGTACTAGCGTCGAAGTATATCCTTGCTACTTTTCTATTAGATACTTCCTAATGTCACGAAGAATTCTTATGAGGATTTTTTTTTTCTTGTGTACAAGTCAATGGTATGCAGTGACCCTTCAGGACGAGAGTACTCAGGGCTCTCCATAAGTTCTTCTCTCTTGTAGCGATTATCAACGTGTATCACTTTAGCAGACCACCTACTCTCGTTCTGCTATCCATTCACGCAAGCTCGTCATTTAGGTGGTCCGCTGCATTCCCCTGTCTCTTTTTTTTCCTTGATATGTCCTGAGAGTGTCAAATTCTCCAAGCCCCCAACTTCTTAATTATGTGCCCCAGAAATGCCAGCTCTATCTTTATGATTCTGAGCATAAGTGTCCTTTTTGTTTCCATTTTAACTTAAGACTTCTTCGTCGCTTAGGCGTTCCGTCCATGGTATACTCAACATCCTTATGTAGGACGATATTTCTCTTAACTCCAGTTTTCTCATCTGCAAGTAAACTGTCCAGTATTCACTGGCGTATAAGAAGGTTGATATTATCAAACAGTTCAACACATTTTCAATGAGACTTACTTATTTACCGCACTTGCCTTTTTGTTATTTTTCTGTGCATGTGTGATTTTTTTCTCCTAAAAATATCGTTAAACGAATAGCTCATATGTATACAAATATTGCACTAACCAGTAGAGTAACTGTGGACAGCTGAAAATGAAATGGATCCTAAAGAAAAAAGATGACAAACATTCTTTTTAGTTTTCTTTTAATACTAGACTGCATCCAATGTAACCTAAATCTGCTCAAGTTAGACGAGTACTTATAATAATATTAAATGAAGTGTGTGATATGAATGAAAGAGGAGGTGCTATTAAGTGAACATTACGAGGATAAGGAGGATAGATAACAATTGACCCTTGATTTGATGAGATTAAGATTAAAGTGTTCATGGAAGCACCCTTGTAGGAATTTCTTCCACAAAGTGCCAGTTCTTGGGGGAAAAGCTACCCGAGCTTTTTTTTTTCATATATTTGGAACAAGGAGGAATGTGTATGCTTTGAATTCGTGAAACCGCGTGAGGTGTCTCAGCTGTAAAGATCTGAACTAGTCAAATGGGTCGCATCTGAGCATTTGCCATGGAAATAGCAACAGAGCAGCGAAAACATTGCGTCTTTACGTTGCAGAGTGAAAAACAAGTCTTCCGGCATATAACCATATGTTCCAATGATTTGTGAGACTGGAGAGTAAGGATTAAACAGTTCCACCCCAGATGTATAGCTGGCCGTTTTTATTCGAGGATAACCGTCTACTAGAGTATCTAGCCAATACCTATTGCAGACATATCTATTAGGGCGGCTAGCCAATCCCTATTGCATACGCTTGCTCAGGCGCATTTTTGTTTATTCAACACCCAACTATGCTGAGCAGACCTTAGTTACAGTTTTGGCGAAAGTTAAAAGTGGAAAAGAGAGCGTGTTTCTAGAAAATTTAAAAACGAAAAGAGAGCGCGTTATCTAGTGTGAGCACGCTCAAGCCCTCGGCCACGATGACTTGTGACTTCATACTAACACAGCTATCGACAGACCTCACCCCCCCACAAGGGTTCTGTCTACCCAATTTCACTCAAAAATGGTTGGGTCAGCCCGTGGTATAGTTTTCATGCACTTTCCAATGGTGCCGCACGCTGGGATCGATCCGTCCTGTCCGATAACATCAGGAAGCCTTGTTCCTGGCAAATCGACCATGGTGAGAAATCGAACGTTCTAACCACTCGGCTACGTTCCCGTATAATTATCTACCCGCTGCCCCACGCAGCAAAATGTGGCACACGGCCCAGTTTAAAGTGGGGTATCCGAGTCCGTAGGCTCGGGCAAAAATTCCCTATAGACCACGTAAAAACGGAGTCAGTTTCTCGTCTGGGGGCATACCCTCTGACATAAGCCAGGTATAATGCTCCATTTTTAGCCTATTTCTGTTGTTATCCTTCTTTTCGTTCGCAAACTATATTAAACATACTAATGATGACACTTCTGTTAAGGTGTCTCAAAGGCATTCGATACGATTTCGCAAGCTCAAGGGCTACGTTGTCACAGGGCGAATATTTGGTTTAATCCGATCGTTCCTAACAAATCGTGTAATGAAGATTGTGCTGAACGGGCAAGCTTCCAGATCATTTCATACTAATACAGGGGGTCTCCCAGGGCTTTATCCTTGGACCTACGCTGCTTCTGATCTTCATCAATGACTTCCTCGATGTCATCAGTTCTCAACTTGATATTTATGCAGATGACACATCTATTTATTCATGTCTTAGTAGCAAGTCGGACAGATCCAAAAAAGTAAACCTGACAACTATTCTCGAAGAGGGCATCCAAGCAGTGGTTAACTGGAACAAGAAATGGACTGTAAGTTTCAACGCCTCCAAAACAAAACTGCTTTCATTTATTCACCCCAGAGAACCTTTTTCTGTCTGCCATCAGCATGGCTATTGCTAAACTCCACGAGAGAAAAACTCTACACCCTCTTGACCTTACGTTTTCCAATAACATAAAATGCAGCGACTATATTGAATCAGTTGCTATGTCTACTGCTAGGAAAGTTAGTTCACTGCGTCGTCAGAATCCATCTTGCAAGTCTATAAATCTACCATGCATTGAATACTGCTGCTCTATCTGGTCAAAGAAGGGTCTGCAAATACAGTCGATCCTGACCTGGCATCTCGACTTCAGTCCCTTACCCACTGATGTGAGCTGGCTTTCTTTTGTCTTTTCTATAAATATTTTCATGTCAATTGTTCTGATAAGCTTTTTTCCCTGGTTTATCGACTACATGAATTTAAGCGAGCTACTAGATTGGCAATTCGGTCTCACCTTTTTGCCTTTGAACTAACTAGATGCAACCGCCGCTTCTAACGGTTTCTTTACTCGCACTTCTCACTTGTGGAGCTCCCATCCGATTTCTTGCTTTTCTGTCACCTACAATCTTTAAACGTTTAAATGCAACTTCTGTTTTCCTGAAACCTGTCCTTTATTGACCTTTCCTCACTTCTCCTCACTAAAGATTTCTCGTTCTCTTTCATTCCCTGTACCTCCCCTGTATTTTAGCGGCATTATCCAATTGCTTCGGTTGAAATGATTACAAAAGAGTTTGTCATGAACATTTAATGGATAGAGACTTCCAACTTCTTTCCTCTATATATCGATTAATTCATTTTCATTTAGCACTAGAAGAACATACCGAAGGCAAGAGAAGGGGAAAACTGCGAGTGAACTACTTAATGTGTTTTAGTGAAAGGGTAGTGAAACTAGAAATAAGGGATTACAAAAGGGAAAAAATGTCTTAGAAAACCAAAAGACGGGAAGATGTAGAAATAATCATCTATGCCTGAAATGATATAGCATATATAAGATCATATGAAACCAAAGAACTTATAGGAGTAATGTCAATGCTACATTTCTTTTGGTAACCACATTTTCCCTGCTTTATTTACAGCCTCACCATACATTCTAATTTGTATATCCGCTCTTACTCTGTCGTTTCCAGGGCGAAAAGTTAGTTTTTCGTACTAAAATTCACCCAATACAAGTTTCGAGAGCCACTCAAGGTAGATTGTCACTGTTAAAATAGTAATGTTGAATGATGTATATGACATCAAGGTAGGTGGTAGTAAGTACAAATTCGGAGGATAAATTAGATACTGTAATATTTGTGGTTATTTCGTCTGCTAATAACATTTTTAGAAATTCATTGACAAACACTTGAAGCTTCTTTGTAAAACTTATATATTTTTTTTAAATTACCGAAGTGCCTTTTCTACGTGTATAGAAGGACCTCGTTATAACGCGATCCTTGACGCGATCGTGTTATATAAGAATTTGAGCTTTTGAAATCGGGGTTTTCTTCTATTCTTCGTTAATCTAACTAGTTTGATATCGACTAGTGACTAAAAGTAAATTCTTCGTGTAATCAAGAGATTCCCGAATCTAAAGGCAGTTTATAGCACCAGAAGATATGAGAATGGTCAGTAGTTGTAAGTACAAGAGAGCCTCGTTTTAGAAATAGGAATTGTTTATTTCACATCAGTTACGAAGAAACAACTAAC